TGGCGGGCGCAGCTGCCCTCTTAGGAAGGCCCGGGCCGGGTCCAACTGTGCGAGCTCTCAGCGTCTCCTCGGCGCTGAGTCCCTCCGCTCTGCAGGGAAGCGGAGCGGCGGCTCCGGTGGGCTGGCCTCCGGGGCGGATGAGGAGGAAGAGGAGAGGAAGGGAGCCGCGGCCTGACGGCTGTGGGGGAAGTGGGGAGGGAAGCCCAGCCACCCCGTGGGTGCTGCTCCTGGGAATGGAGGAAGGCAAAAATTTCGAGAGTTGTGGGGTGGGTTTATGGCTTTATTTTTGCTTCATAGGAAATGTGTGGGAGTTTTTGTGTCGTGAATGTTTCCCGGGGATTGAAGGGGCAGCAGCTCGAGCACTGCCTGCCTAAAGCAGTCAAAGCAGAAACGGTGATCTCATACATCTTTCCCAGGGCTTGGGAAAGCAGATCTGTGTTTAATGTGCAAATATCTTCTAGGGATTCTGAGTTTGTGCTGCTCATGGCACTGAAGACTAACTAGGTCTGCATTATACAGCCCTGTTGTGGTTGCTTCAGGATGAGAAGCAGCAGCCCTGGAAAACTGCTTGGAATCGTAGAATCATAGGGTTTGGATTGGAAGGGACCTTAAAGATCATCTTGTTCCAACCCTTGCCATGGACAGGGATCCCTTCCACTAGACCAAGTTGCTCCGAGTCCCATTCACCCTTGCCTTGAGACACTTCCAGGGATGGGGCAGTCACAGCTTCTCTGGGCAACCTGTGCCAAGGCCTCACCATTCTCACAGGGAAGAATTTTTTCCCAATGCCCAGTCTAACCGTGCCCCGTGTCAGGCTGTTTATGCTGAGTGATTTGGTGCAAGGGGATGTATGAATTGAGACCGGTTCTGCTGTGGAGCAACAGAGTTAATGGTGTCATTTATATCCCTAGCAGACAGAAGAGTAACTGGATCTCACACGCTGTTTTCCAGATTGTAGATGTAATCATCAGATTACTATTGTGTGTTTACTAGATTGCTTTATGGGAGTGAGGATTCCATAATTTCTTCTGGTGAAGTATTAAAAGCATTTAACTTCCCTAAGTGCACACTTATTTGAGGTGTTCTGTAATTCTGGGAAGACATTTGTGCTGTGAGTATCCCTGGAACACAGCAGTTGCATAATGGAGCACAGAGCGCAGTGTCTGCTGGAATCAGAAATCCGCTGTATTTTCCACAGCATTGTAAACGGGCAGGAAAGAAGGGTAATGCTGTAACACAAGTGTTCACTCTTACATGATTGTTTTTGGTAGTAGTATTCTGCAATGGAACAGGTTCCCACTAAAGCTATGCCCCATCCCTGGAAGTGTCCAGGGATAGGCTGGACAGGGCTTGGAGCAGCCTGGTCTAGTGAACAGTTGTCCTGTCCATGATTTGGATGGAACAAGATGATCTTTAAGGTCTCACAGCCTATCCCATTCCATGATTCTGTGATTCTATTTAGTACCAGAACAGATAGGTAATGCCATAAATCCATCAGTGAGTGTAAGACTGGTTGTTGAGGATTCCCATTACCCCTGTAAGCTGCTGTAGGAGTTGCTTGAAAACACGGTCAGCTCACAGCCAATGAAACAGGTTCTTGTGATATTTCACACTGACGTTGGCTTCATTCCATGTTATTTTGTCAGAGTATGTGAACTGAAATTTTACTTGTGTATGTCTGCCTGTGGGCTTCAGGGCAAAGTGGGGACGAGAAGGAAGACTGGAGTGTAATGAATTGAGGGGGAATGGGGAGCAGATGCAGACCTATGCAGCAGTATAATTTGGGAAGAACATGCTTAGCTGAAAGGCAGTGTTGTGTGAATATGGCCACTCTGTAGCTCTGACACTGGGGACACATCAGGGGGTCTGACCCTGGGGAATGGCAGCATGCAGGGATGGGGGCAGCAGGCACAGGACAGGTCCTTGGGCTGGGAGCAGCCTCGGGGCAGCTGGAGGCAGGGCAGGGAGCTGAGGGAGGCAGGACCACAGGGAGGGATGGGAGTGTGAGCTGCCTGTGCCTGCACATCCACTGTGGAGCCATGTGCCCGGTCCTCCATAGCAAACCATTGGGATCTGAGGCATCGCAACCCTCTGCTGTCGATACAGGACTGGTAAAGGTCTGGTGTCCCCCAGTCATTTTTCAGTCTGGGAAATTGTATATAGTTCCTGGCACAGGTTAAGCACACACTCACCAGAGAGCTGCGGCTGCTTGCTGAGCCACCCAGAGGTTGGATTTCTCTTCATGGGCAGTACCTGCCCGTTGCAGCAGCTTCTCAGCCTTGAGAGCTCTGAGTTACTCCAGGATGGTTTTCCGAGGCTGTTGTATACTGTCTTCCAGGGCCCAGGAGATGGCACTCCTGCATTTGGACAGTGTGCAGCTGTTCCCCTTTTCCTGAAGAGGAAAATCCCATCGTGGGCTGGCTGTTTGGCTCTGCTGGGGAGGGAAGTGGCTACATTTTCAGGGTCTGGTGATTTGTCCTGTTCTGGGAGATACCAAAGCTGGGGTGGTGATCTGTGAGAAAAGTCTCTGCTCAGCAGGCAGGCGTTCCTGGGTGCGTATTGATGGTGCAAACTCCAGCAACGGGTTGTCACTGTTAAGTAGCTATCACCATAGAGGACCTGGAGATGCGAGGTCCATGCAGCTGCAGCTCCTCCAGGTGCGAAGACTTTAATTACAGCCAGATGAAAGCATCTGTCATGAAGCATCTACAAACTGGATTAGGGTTCCACTGACTGCAGTTGTCTATGTCGGGTTTACCCCACCCATTTATACTGTACCTCCATCGGAGGTATCTGAGATCTGTGCCTGGATGTTTACCAGGCACGTGTGCTTCTTTCAGGATGTGGGGCTGGGAAAGAATTTACCAGGAACTAGAGAGAAAAGAAGTGGTTTAGGTCTGAAATGATACGTGCTGTGTCCCTCTGTGGCTCAAGCCAGTGAGCAGATGCTCATGACACAGGTCTGGTTGGGATGACACATTCCACGTCCTGTATTTATCCTGGATCCACTGTTGTGGAGCAGGAGGTTGATGCATCAAGCCCTACCTGCCAGCCTCTCTCAGGAAACCTCAGAGGTGAAGGTTTGGATTTAGACTGGATATTAGGAAAAAATTCTTTCCTGCGAGAGTGGTGAGATCTCAGCACAAGTTCTCCAGAAAATCTGTGGCTGCCTCATCCCTGGAAGTATTCCAGGCCAGGTTGTTCTTGTGGAAGGTGTCCCTGGTCTAGTGGAAGGGGAATGGAATGAGGTGAGTTTTAAGGTCTGTTCCAACCCAAATGATTCTAGGATTTGATAATTCTTTGATTTTAAGGACTGTGTGACCACAAGGTGTGTAAATCCCACCATACCCAAGCTCATAGCTGTTCTCTGTCACATTTGTTGTTTGTATCCCCTCTCCTGCTGGGTCACAGCTTGGAGTAGGTTTTCCTCAGGCTGTTTCTCAGCTCAGCACTTGGCTCAGTGCCTTGGCCTGTGTTGTGCTGAGCTGAGTGCCCGTTGCTATAATTTTACCTGTTTGTGTCCCTTGATCTGTGTTTGTTCCCTTGGAAGTGCAAGGAGATCCATTAAAGCAGAGGCACTGGGTAAATACCGCCTGCTCCTCACTCCACCAGCACCCGGGATCAACGATTAACTCCGGGTAAACAGAGCTGACTGCCAGTCAGCCCTTGGCCACAGCAAGGAGGGACAGGGGACCCAAAGTGCTCCTCCCCAGGTGTGTGGGGGATGTAAAGGCTGGAGTTGGATGTAAAAGCTGGACGCTGCTGGAGCAGGACACTGGCATGGAACTGAAGCTCTGGTGCCTGGTGGCCATTGGACGCATCCTGCTGATGGTGTGCCATGGGCGGGATCAGTCACCAGCACTATAAATAGAGCTGTCAGCGAATCTGCCCTGGGGAATAACTGCTGAACCCTGGAGCGAGGAACAGACAGCGTGGGCTGGGTGGAGGAGGTGCCTAGGAGGAGGCGTGATGCCAGTATCCTGTACTGGGGAGCCCAGCAGCATGTGCTCGATGCCAATGCAGTGCCTGTAGGGCTTCAGCTCAACCGGGACGTGGATCACAGTGCTGGATCAGATCCATAAGAGCTTCCCAGTAGGTGGCAGGAATGGCAGGAGCTCAGGTGGGACTACCAGGACCTTTCTTGGAGCCTCCAGTTGGGTCTTGCCCCATCTCTGACTCTGACTCTGAGTCGGAGGATCCCAGAGCTGTGGGTGGCACAAGACCCAACGCTGCAGCACAGAACTCCTCCCAGGTCATTCACAGTGGCCACTTCATGGTGTCATGCCCGCACAGCGACTCACTGCCCCGGCGACGGCACCACCATACTGAGCCTGAACCAGCTGATCCCCGGAGTATCGATCCGACCCTCACCTGGCTCTTTGAGTGCATGAGCCTGGAGTACAGGTGAGTCCCAGGGCTTTCGCGTGTGTCTTACAGACCCCCAGCTAGCTGAAGGCAGGAGGCTAGCTGAGCCCCGTTCCCCAGCCAGGAATTTTTTTCCATCTGACCTCCTCCTCCTCTTCTCCATGGGCTGTGATGTGCCATATGCTCAGAAATTGCCATCCTGGAAAGTTTCAGGGAGAAGGAGCTGATGTTGGGTTGTTGGCTATGGAGTGAGGTGAGAAGCTTCTCTGTTCACATGTAGCTTTACTCTCCTCCGCTCTCCAATGAGATCAGGTATCACTGTGCCCAGCTGTATTTCCCCCATGGCCAGGCCTAGCACACTCTGTAGAGCAGCAGTGACCCTGTGGACAGCTAATACTCAGTTCTTTGGCAATCCAGCCCAGAGCAGGAGTCCTGCCTTCCGTCCTTGACTCTGTCCCCATGTCCTGAGGTTATTCCATGACATGCAGCAGCACTTGGGGCTGCATGGCTGCATGGGTTTTGCCCAAAGTCTCCTGAATGCTTTCCTCCTTCTCTCTGCAAAATGAGATGGGTGACTGCATTGTTCCCCTGCCACACAAATTGCCAAAGTCCAGTGACAGCTCTTTGGTGAGAACAGGACAGACTGCAATGTCTCCTATGGCCACGGTCCACATTCTTGGAGGCAGCTCCCCTCCTTTGCCAAGCCCCAAGGTTTTGATTTCTCTCCAGCATGGCATCAGCATGACTTGCTCTTCTAGAGTCAGTGCCAAACTGCTTGCAGAGCTTTCCCAAAATGTCCAAATGTGAAAACCTAGATGATGATGTCCTACCACGTGAAAGCAAAATCTCAGCAAAGCAGCCTTGAAGAGATGCCCATTGTCTCATCCAGGGTGTCATCCAGTGGCTGAGCTCTCAGGTTTGCCTTGGAGTCTTTCGGTACTCAATGCCATAGGATATGTGGTCACTGCCAGGACGTCCTTGTGGATGCTGGGCACAGAGACAGCACTCCAAATGGTACCAGTACCCACATAGTTGTGGACATCTGACCCGTCATCGTATCCCAGGTGGTGGATGGGATCATCCTAGTTTGCCAGCACAGCACAGCTCTGCTCCAAGGGGCTAGGGAAGGCAGTGCTCTGTGGGAGCACAGGGAGCATCAGTGTGGTGTGACCCAGGTGAGGATCATGCTTCGTGGTTGGGCAGGTCACCCCTGAGTGCCACAAACAGGGGACATAGAGACACTTGTGACCTCTCCCAGCCCCATTCTTTCCATACCTGGGCCCTGCAGCTTTGAGGCTGAAGAAACAGAAACTGTCACAACAAGGTGCTCAAACTATAGACTCGTGCAAGATAGCTTCAAGTGTGCCCCTGGGCTCTGGAGCTCCCAGGCAGAGTGGAAACAGACAGGGTACAAAGACTTTGACAGTTGGAGTACTGTGTGTGACTGGGGACTGGCCATTCCACTGCAGTCAGGGCTCCGTTGCTCCAGTTCTCCCTACCCCCTGGACTCTGAGTGGCTCATTTCCCTCCTACACTGAGCATGGCAGTGCAAATGCTGCCTCCTATGTAGTGGGACACTCACCCAAGCCTTGCCCTTCCAGGGGTAGCCACAGCTTCTCTGTGCTGGGACCTCACCACCCTCACAGGGGAGAATTTCTTCCCAAAATCTCATCTAGCCCTGCCCTCTGACACTGTGAAATCATTCCCCCTTGTCCTGTCACTCTAGGCCCTTGTCCAAAATCCCTCTCCAGCTCTCTTGAACCCTCCTTAAGCAGTGGGGGAGGGGGGCTCTAAGGTCTCCCCAGGGCCTTCTCCAGGCTGGACAACCCCGGCTCACTCAGCCTTTCTTTTGTAAGTACATTTTCGACACATTTGTAGGCAGCAGCTGGAGAAAGGTATCGGGTTGGGAAAATAGATTTAAGTGTTTTTGGTGCGTTTCTTCATTTAGTGGTGTCTGATTTGATACTTCTCTACATCACCTGCCATTTCACAACTCCCTTCCCAGACAGGTTCCCAGAGGCAGCGGGGTCACCAGCCCAATATCCTCCAGCCCTCAAGACAGCACCCACAGTTAAGCTCAGACTAACTTCCTAACCAAGGAGAAACCACTGTAAGCTGTCACCTGGGAGGCACCTGTGGAGTTCTTCATCCAGCCCTCGTGCAGGGCAGGGCTAGATCCAAAGCCATGTCAGATTGCTCAGGACCATCACTTTGACAGATGGAGCCCTAGGATGTGAGCCCACCACCTGTCCAGCCTGCCCAGGGCTGCCCCTCTCCTGCAAGGAATTGCTGTCCGTGGCTCTAGTTTGGAGTTTACCTCTTCCAATTATGGCCATTTCCCTTGGCCTTTCTCAGTGCATGTTTGAGAACTGTCTGCTTCCATCTCCTCCTTTGGGCAGCTGATGGCAGTAATTCTCTCTTCACCTTCTTCAGGCTGAACAAACCCATCCCTCACACTCATCTTCTGTTACATATGTAAGTCCCAACCACCTTGATATCCTTTTCCAGGATCACTCCAGTTTAATCTCCCTCTTTGTCCATTGGACACAGTGTCCAGACTTGGCCATAACAGTGTGAAGCAGAGAGGAAAACTATCCTGTCTCCTGGTGAGCTGTGACTGCTGCGGCCACCCATCATTTGCCGTCTGGGCTCACACAATTTCAAAGGCAACTCACTGAGCTTTCCCTAAATATTTTTCAGTGGCTACAACTAGAATTCCTTCCCTCTCCAGCACTCCCCCTCTGCATTTCCCAGACATTATAGCAGTCCTGTCTCAGCCTGAACAATCTGGGGATATGACTTATCTTCCTTCCATGGGCAGGACTGTGCATCACCCCTCACTGGTAAAGAAATGTTCCCTCCTCATCAAGGTTTGCTTTCAGCAGTAACTTGTTCCCTCAGATCCCCACAAAGAGAGGCAACTCCCCTCTCTGAGGTCTTCCTCCTAAGGCTAGGATGAAGCAGTTCCTTTTTACCTATATTCCAGGACATTTAGAGCAGCTTCCTGCTGTAATGATCCTTTTCCACTCCTGCAACATCCTGCATTCCTTGACTCCTTCCCTAGAATGTTGTTTCTCCATGTAGCCCACCTGGCTGTGTCTCATTACCCAAAAAACTGAGGGTGGAGCTGAGCTCCTTCAGGAGCTGCTTACACTATGACCTTAGCACAAGAAGGCTCATCCTCTCCATCACCACACCCCATCCTGTCACTTATTGTTGGGAATCACTGACATGGGGAACATCCTCTTGAAGGAAGGAAAACTGGGGGCAGATTGGGAGATGTGAGCTGCAGTCACTCATGGTCTCACTTGGTGACATCTATCTTGGTAGGCAAGACTTCTTCCCAGAAGACTGGGAAGTGACTTGGAACATATACTCTGCCTCTCTTGTGTTTTAAAACAAGGCATCTACTTCTTAATCAGCCTCTGTCTCCCCTGGGAGAGGAGGAATTGCTGCTACTGATTCTCTGATTTGCAGTGCCTTAAATGCTCACCCAGGGGTAGTGAACACCAGGCAGAGACTCCAGGGATGCACTTATAGGAGTTCATGCAACCCCATTTTTCTTCTGGAAGAAGACCTCTGTTCTAAGGGGTCTGATGAGTGGGGAATGATTGTGCTTGGGCTTAACCCACCCATGCTGCACTGTGGCTCTGCTGTCATTAGTGGCAGGGAGTTGCACTCCGTTCTTCTGTCATTCCCTAAGGTTTTGATGCTGATCCTGTTCAAGGATTGTACTGAGGGACTGGGCTGGTACGCTGGTGCAGCCCTGCATCTCTCCAGATCATGCCTCTTTTCCCTGCTCGTCTTGCTCTTGATGAAGATGAAAACGTACTCGTGTTGTCATGAAATCAAAGACTGCAACACCTGAAACTGCTGGATGGGTAAATGAATCACAGACCAAACAAGGTGCTGCTGGACCCATGCCAGTGTTGGACCCAGGCTGAGCCCTATTGCCACCTCACCCTATCCCACAAACACCCTGTCGCCAGTGGCAGGATTCATGTTCCCCTCCTTCTGACAGTGTAGGGCACCAGGACCCCCAGCCTGTTTGGGGCACCCTGTACCCCTCCCACGGTTCAATGTGAAGTTTGCATCAATCTCCCCAGGGGAGATAATTGCAAGGAAGGGTGGGGCCGTTTTCAAGGCAAAACAGGGAGCAAAGATCAGCCTGGTAAGCCCCAAAACTAAAGGGATCATTAAAGGGGGGGGAAAGGCATGTGGTGGTAAAGTTCAGAGGCATCTCCCTGCTGCCTCCAGGTCCCACAGCAATTCCTAGCCATGGCCCACGGGCCTCACACGAGGCCAATGTGTCCCACAGGCTCAGGCTGCTCTTTTCAGCTGGCTGTGAATGAGGAACATGCCCTTGACCAGCAGGATCTGGCCACGTGCCCAGGAATTCTGTCCCTTCCATTGGCTCCTTCACTTGGCACCATCTTGCTGTTTGCCTTGTGCTCCTGGGGAAAGTTCAAAATCCTGGTGATAGTGGAGTGATCAGTATCAGCCTTGACTCTCTGCCGGTTGGAGTCACAGGTCCTTCCCCAGGCCCTGGGGCTGTGTGTCAGGCTCGTTCTCCCTTGGGAGACCATCCCCATCCACTCCTGCACCTGCTCCTAGACACATCCCTGCATCAGGCTCTGGAATTGTAGGGCTCCCCAGTCTTCCCCCTCTGCCAGAGGCAGATTTCAAGGCAGGTCAAAACAGAACCTACCAAAATCATTATTTGAGAACAGTTAGAAGTTTCACAAGTTTGAATGAACAACTCAGAGGCTACATACACCACTCTCATCCCCAGCATCTCCCTGGGGACACTGCCTGGTGGCACCTGAAGGGGCTGGGAACAGGGGATACAGCACCCTGACACCAGCTCAGCCTCCACCTTTCCTGCTCCACGCATGTACCAAGAAAACGTGGGAGTCAAAGCAGCACCAAGATACTTAGGGTACAAACTGTCTGCTGGAGAGAGAGACATGGCTTCCCAGGCAGGAATGCCATGCAGCCTACAGCCAGCAGCTCTCAAAGGGACCCCTGGAGCACCTGACATTGCCCTGAGGCCATTGAGAGAGCTGGAGAGGTGAAATGGACCTCAAAGTAAGGCAGAGGGACCCTGTCCTTCCCCACAGAGCTCCTGGGGCAGCAGGGCCCTCAGGACCTCCTGGGTGGCTGCACATGAGGGATTGTGTCCCTTGGCTGGATGGAAACAGGGAGTGAAATGAGGCTTCCTTTCACTGCAGATCCCATCAGGGACATCACCACCCACACTAAGATGAGCTGCAGAACAAACACAGCTGCCTCTGGGCATCAGGAATTGGGAAGCAGGGAGCCCAGCTCAGGCTGGGGTGGGCAGGTTTGCAGGGATAAGTGTGGAGAAGAGGCTGGGGCAGCTCTGTCTGAGGGCAGGGCTGATGTCACTCTGTGTCTGTCTTGGAGCACAGGCAAGTGTTCCTTAACATCCTGAACATCCTCCAGTGTTGTCCTGCCTTCCCAGACCCTCCACAGTGGCTGCCCCTGACTGCCCCAGCTGAAGACAGCATTTCCAAGCCTTGCCTGGTGTTAAAGGGGAGGTCAGAATTAGATGCCCAAACACTGTGATGAGGCAAGAGCCACTACAGTACATGTCACCACACATCTCACCAGGAGACTCGCCTTCCTGTCCCCCAGGGCCAGAACACAGCTGGCTTGGTTGGGAGCAGCGGGATTCTGCCTCGAAGTTGAGGTTCAGACATCAAGGAATCAATGCCTCAGTGTGCTGTGCTTTAATCCAGGGGTTTGAGACACCTCCTGTGGGTCTGTGAAGCTCAAGGTTTAGGGCTGTGCTTTTCCCAGGGTGTGCAGAAGCTTGGAATTCTCCTGTGGGTGCTCCCACAGATGCCTGGCAAACACCTGCAGCGGAGCCACATGCTTCTGACTTCCACCAGGCTGGTGGCCCCTGGGCATCTTTCAAGGTGGTACCCCTCAGCCTCCCCTTTGCTTGGTGTTTCAGTGGGAAGCTAGTATCTCCAAAGTGGAAGAATTTTAAGGGGCTGCGACTGCTTTGCTGGGATAAAATTCGACTCAACAACGTGATCTGGAGAGCATGGTACATCCAGTGTGAGTATGGGCCAGACCCCACTCTGCCAGATGCCAGGCTGTGGGATGGGGCTGGCATTGGAACGGCCATGTACAGGTGCAGAGATAGGGATGGGGCATGGATACAGCCAGCTGCATTCTCCCCTGTGCAGATGTGGAGCGGAGGAAAAACCCTGTGTGCAGCTTCATCACCCCTCTGGAGGGCATGGAGGCTGATGAGCACCGAAAACCAGAGGTAGGGCAGAGTCCCTTGCAGCTCTCTGGGACAGCAGCAGGTCTGTGTGGCACTGGGGGCACGATGCATTTCACAGATTTGCTGGAAAAGATGTTTCTGATATGGCACAAGGAAAGCAGCCCTGCCTCTGGGGTGCTGGGGCCAGGGAGCTCAGCCATGACCCCCTGTCCTGCCCCCCAGGCTGTTGTGCTGGAGGGCAACTACTGGAAACGCCGCATTGAGGTGGTGATGAGGGAGTACCACAAATGGAGGATCTACTATAAGAAGCGGGTGAGTGGCTCTGCCCGTGCTGCTCCCCATCCTGCGGCAGTGCCAGCAGTGGGATGGAACAGCGTGCCCAACCTGCAGCCATGGCTCACAGGGCAGGATGTGACAGGCTTTTGCCAGCATGGGAGGGGGATGCTGGCTGGCCCCCTGAGTTCTCCCTGCCTGGGGGGTGACGTAGGCCGTCTTCTCCTTCCAGCTCCGAAAGTCCGCACGAGAGGGAGAGATCTGCAGTCCAAAGCAGGTGAGCCTGCTGAGAAAGGGTGGGAAGTGGGAGAAAGTGGGGTACAATTTGCATCCCTGCACTGGGCAGAAGGGCAAAGAAAAGCACCAGGGTATGATAAGCCCATTGGAATGGGATGCTAAGCATCTGGGATGCTGGATTCACCCTCTGGAAGCAGCAATGTGCCAGGCATTAAGGTTTGCAGGGAGCATGGGAGCTGCCATGGGGAGCAGCCAGGGAGCCAGACATGGACCCTGCCCACAAAAGGTGTCCACTGGGCTCCTTTGCTCTATCTCATGCAGGACGAGGATGTCTGGAGGCCAACAGAGAAATGGTGCAACCAGCTCTTCTGCAATGTAGTGCCCATGCTGCTTGGGGATGAGGAGGAGGAGTGCGGGAGCAGGCAGCATTTCGATTTGGACACCTTCCTTTCGGACATATCTGATACCCTCTTCACCATGACACAGATGCCCAGCACCCACCAGGCACTCCCCGAGGATGGTAGGTGTTGCAGATCATGCTTCAGCAGGATGTGGAGGAGGAATCCAGATGCTGCCTCTTGGCTTAGCCTCTGAGAGCTGCCAGTCATGCTTTTGGGCAGGCAGGGTCCCCTGGCACCTGCCCTGATGGAGCAGGCGGAAGGGATGTTCTTGTCCTGCCCAAACAGGGGCCACCAGGGGAGGGGATCCTTAAGGAGTGTTTGGGCAGGTTGAGATCATCCCCTTCTCCTGTAGTTTCCTATGTACCAGCATGCACTGTCCCATGGCTGAGCTCCCCAGGGACCACAGGCACCATGAAGGACGTTGCCCCTTCAGGTGACCCCTCAGGGCAGGTCTTGCTTCCATAGCCACTCTTTGCTGTACCTACCTGGCCATGTGCCTCAGGCATCTGCAGCTCCAGCCAGGTCCTGCGCCAAAGATCAGCCGTTCACTGGGGTTCCTGGGAAATGGATGAGGTCCTAGAGGTGCTGATGGATAGAGTGGTGGGATGGGATGGCCTTGGCTCTCGGCAGGGTAGGCACTTAACCTCCCTGCCCAGCGCAGGGTGCAGTGATACAGGGTGACTCTGAAGTGACATAGAAGAGTGGCAGCCAGGTAGGTGTCAGGGCAGTGGTGGGAGCAGCCCTCAAGGTGGGTCTTCAGGATGCAGTGGCTGAGCCTTGATGTTCCAGCTCTGCCCTCTTCCAGTGTATGTTGGGAATGCTGACGTGATACAGCCGGATTTGGCACCCCTGCAGCCCAGCCTGGATGACATGGACATATCAGGTAAGAAGCAGCCTGGATACAGTACCACGTCCCACCCAGCCCTGTGCCCTGTGTCTGCCTAAAATGCGGGGTCACAGGTTTGGCCAGTGGGAGCTGCTGAGACAGGCAGAGAGCACTGGACACCCAATGGCATAGGAAAAGCAGCATGGATGGGCAGGGTCTGAGGGCAGAGCCTTGTTATGACTACCTGCCCCTGGAAAGAGCCATGGAAGGTCAGGAAGGGCTTGGCCAGGAGCTGTGGGAGGGGATTTCTACAAAAAGAGTGTATTTCCAGGAGTGCCAGAGCCCCTCATTTTGGCTGCAGATAGGGGAAGTACAATTGTCCCCCAGAGGAAGAGGAAACCTTTAGAGGGTAGGTTCTGCGGAGTCCGTTCTTCACCCCGCACTGCCCAGCCAGCCTGGGTGGTTGGCTTGGAGCTGGGACCTTGCACTGGGCTGTGCTGCATTCTCTGGGGACAAGTCACTGTCCCTGCCAGGCTGCCCAAAGACAAATCTGGTGCTGTTTTCCAGCTGGGGGCAGCTGAGGAAACACCAGCAAGTGGGCAGTGGCAAACTCCCCCATTCTGCCATGCAAGCTCTAAGCTGTGAATGTCCATGCAGTCAGCTGGGGACATGTTCTGGTCTCAGCACTGTCCCCAGATGCCAGGGCAAGGCACTACTGGGGACCAGCTTTGCCCTCAAACCTGCTAGAGCTGGTAGCCTGTGCACACTGTGCAGAATAGGAGCTGGTGAGGGTTGATGGCTACCCAGCTATAGCTAATGGCCTTGGGCAGCACCAGCATCTCCAGACCACTCTGTGAGCACCCTGGAACTTTGTGGCCCATCTCCACTTCCTCCAGGAGGAGGAAAAAAGGGTACTTGTAGCATATGGCTGTGGAGTGTTGCAACACCAGATGCTGGCAGAGAGCAGGCTGGGCACTCCATGTGTCAGGGCTGGTGGTGGCCTGGGTGCCCTTGGGATGGATGCTTTTGGGTTGGATGAGGTGGGAAGACTCCTGCCAGCATCCTCTCAATTCCAACTGTAGATCCCATCAGAGTGAGGTGTGCTAGGAAGAGGGACTGTTGCCATGGCTGGTGCTTCACCTTCTGTCCCTGGTGCCCCAAGTGGGCATCAGTTGCTGGAAGGTGCGACAGCTCCAAGTGGGTCAAATTGACACTTGGTAAGTGTCCCTTATCCCAAGAGGTCCTGTATGGTGTCATAGCAGCTCCAGCACCTCTCTGAGGGCCCAGCATGGCTTTAAACTCAGCAGGAGATGGCAGGAGCACAGTGGTTCCTTTCTGAGCCAATACATCATCAGGATGGCTTTTTTCCTGGGAAAACGCCTGCGTTTTGCTTCAGGGTGCTTCTTGGCAATGAGATGGGTCTTACTGCAGACCACAACATCACGAGGAAACATCCCTTTCTGCTCTGACAATGTCCAGCACCTCATCCCAGGGACACTGCTAGGGCTGGAGAGAGTCCCAAGTCTAGCTGTGGCTCCTGGTCTGCCAGGCTAGTGTGTTCTGGGACAGAGCAGCATCCCATGGGGTGCTTGGAGACCTGTTGGTGGGAGTTTTGTCCTGGATGGAGCAGCTCCCTTGGTGATAAGGAGTTACATCTGAGTACTGTGTGTGCCATGTACCCCTGGGGCTGTGGGGAGAGGAGATTGGGGTGCTACATGCCAACCAACCCAGTTATGTCCCAAAAGGTCAATTTTTCAGCAGGGCAAGCAACTTGGGAGCAAGGATCACCCAGCAGCCTCGTGCAAAGCTACACAGGGCAGGCATGTGGGGTGGGCACCATGGGGTCACAGGGCTGTCATTGTGTGGGGTGGTGTGGCAGAGCTCAGTGCCTGTCAGTCAGTGCCTGCAAACCAATCCCCAAATGAGGAAGCATCTCGTGTCTGCGGCGGGTGCTGGAGTGCAGTGTGAAGCAGATGGAGAAGTCCTGAAGGCAGAGGTGAGGGAGCCGTCCAGCCCTGTGCCGCGCTGGCACCGTGCTCCAGGTAGGATCGGTGCTGGGCACTGGGGCTGGGCTGTCCGTCCCATGGGGTGGCAATGCCCTGCTGCACTGCAGGGCTCTCCCCAAAGCCTGGGACAAGTGCTGGAAGGTCTTTGGGTTGGGAAGGCCCAATCACATTAGAGAGCATCCCCAGGTTTGAGCAGGATAACAAAGGTGTGGTTTGTTGACCACACAGTCTCTTCTCCCTTGAGCAGGCTGTGCCCTGGCCATGCTGCACTGCCTGGAGCAAAACAGGGTGATTACAACAGTGAGGAGGAGCATGGGCAAGAGCTACAGGGTGAGGACAGGGCAGGAGAAAGGGAGGAAAAGGCTCCCAGGGACTGCCAGCCACCTTCCATCCCTGTAGCACAGTGAGAAGCTCAAGAGGGTCTGACAGGCATGGCAAGAGGCACAATCGGATCTGACAGCCTGGGTACCACAAATGCCTATAAATACCTGCAGAACTTCAGTGCTGGTGGTGGGGACATCCTGGTGTGGTCATGGCTGAGGTGGGGGCAAGGTGGGGCTAGACTGCATCCCAGGAAGGCCAAGCTCCTGCCTGGCAGCACCGCAGCACACACTGAGTGCTAGCCTGTGGACAGGCAGAGATGGCCCTGACATGCTGTCAGGGATTCACAATGGCTGTGGCAGGGTTAAGGGGCAGTCGTGAGAGCTGACTGGGACATCTCAGCAGTGGCTCTGTCCTGTCTCACACCAGTGTTCCCCTCAGATGGCAGTGCTGGCATGCTGGAATCATCACCGTGCCCAGTCTCATGGCATCCCACAATGCTGGCATGTATATTCCTCTGGTGTAGATTCAGCAGGGTCTCAGGCCTTTGTGAATCCCAGACAGGGCAGCCCAGGTGCTAGAGCCTGAACCACAGATGATGCCCTGAGCATGGCTGTGCACACCAGACAGGCAGAACTAGCAGCAGGAGCTGGCATTGCCAGTGCCAGCCAAGGGCTAGAGAGCACAGCTGGGTGCTTCCCAGAGGACATGCAAGTGCCTATCCCCAGTGGCTGCTCAGGCACTATGCCTGTGCCAGGGGCTGCCAAGCAGCAAACCCAGTGAACCCTCCTGCTCCATCCTACAGGGAATCATCCAGCAGTGCCATTCATGTCCCACAGTCATCCTCTCCATGAAAAACCCTCCTTGTGGTGATGCCAGAACCAGCACTGACACAGGCACTGAGCCAAGGCATTCATGGGGCTGGTGTGCCCAGGGAGACAACTGCCACAAGTGTGGGACCAACCCTTTGCGCTGTGTTGTCTAGGCCTCCGGAAGGACCAGGGCTGTTGGAAGGAGAGAGGAAGGGAGCAGGAGTCGCGGCAGGGTCACGCGGCTCAGCTTTGGGAAGGCCATGGGATGTGGTTAGCCGCAGGCTGTGCATACAGCAGCGCTGGACTGGGCAGCACAGAACTTATCACCATGCCAGGGGACCATCTCCACAGCTTGGGAATGCCATGACCTGATTGCCCATCCCCTCTGCTGTGGCTGCCCCCCAGCCAGGGTGTCACAGTCCCTGCCCCAGCCTGGGGCTGATACAGCAACACACACCCCTGGGAACAGCTCTGGGGCTGGAGCACATGGAACTCAGCTGGGTGTCAGGGATGGGGTCCCCACACTTGGGTGGAGTTCCAGGTGGGTTTTTCTGCCCCTATGCATGTGGCAATGCTGGCCCTGGGTATACATGTGCTGGAGCTGCCTGGCCCCAAAAAGTGCAAGCTGCCAGTAACAGGGTATGTTACTGGCATAACTGGCGTAACATGAAGTAACCCCTCGTGCCCCAGGGTGTCCCCTTCCTCTCCGGGCAGGTCCACTTGTGCCGGTTACTGTGTCTCCACTTGGCTCTGCAGAAATCTTCACCAGCCACCGGCCACCCCTATCTCAGACACAACCGGGCTACCAGGATCCATCCTGCTTCTCGCCTATGGCTGAACCCCTGTTCAGCAGTGGGGAGTCCCTGATGGGTGCTCGGAGTCTGCCTGTGGGTCCCGAGGCCCCAGTCCTACCTGGCACCCTCCTCCAGGTGAGTGGGATTCCAGCTTGTAGCCTGTGGCTTACTGGTGGTGTACCAGTCACCCGCCCTGACCCTGCCATGTCTTCTGCAGCCCAGTGATGCCTCCCAGCTCAGCCTCCACAGCACCTTCCCGGGCTCCGAGCTGCCCCCGGCCCCCCTGCCCCCCGAACACCCCGACGTGGCACCCAGCAGCCTCAGTCCCCAGCTCCGACACAAGCCCACACTGCAGTACGACTTCCCTGGCAAGTGCCTCAGCCTGGAGCCACCAACACCCCACTATGTCCCCACCATCCCATCCCCCCAGGCACCTCTGCTGAGCCTGGAACCCTCCTTCTCCCCTGCCTCAACCCCTCTCTCTAAGTTCCCTTACAGCAGTTCACCTGACCCCTCACTTGTCACCCACACTACCTCCCCTCCCTCAAGCCCTTGCTTTTCCCCCTGCATCCCAGGGCTGGGCTATGCCACAGGCATGGGGCCCCAGGGATACCCCGGCCCTGCTGTCTCCCAACTCCTGCCCCAAGCCCTGCTGGGCAACCCCAGGTTTGCCCCCCGCAAGGGGCTGCCCCAGGATGGAGGTGGGTGGCCCAGGGCAAAGTCCAGCGGCACCAAGGCAAGGAGGCTGCCAGGACATCCCCTGTCCCACCTGCCTGAGCCCAACCCCTGCCTGAGCCAGCTCCTGACCACAGGTAACAGGGTTGGGAGGCTGTGGGGGGACACAGGAACGAGATGGGGGGCATGCTATTGTGGGGAACAGAGTGGGGACCCCATTTTTCCCTGGCATTGGGATGCAGGGAATACCGGGCAGGACACATGGCAGTCCCCATAGCAGGGTAATTCCAAATCCAGGGGTGAAGCCATGCCTGAGGGATCACCCTAGGTTCAGTGGCCTCAGGGGGAGATGCAGCCCAGCCCCAGAACTTGGCTACAGGCATTGCTGAGAAGTTCCTGTGTCCCCAGTCTGGTCTCTATGGCCCTGTTGGCACAACGGGATGGGGGGTCACTGGTGTCCTGCCTGATACGCTGCCTGTGGGTGTGATGGGACAGGTCCCTTTGGCACTGTCATGGCCCTCTGCTTGCTTGAGGAGAGGCTGGGGCTCCCTGCCTCCACAAGGCTCCTGAGAACATCCCTGTTTTGAAGAGAACAAGAGAACACCTCCAGAGGTGCATCCCTGTTCTCTGGGGCAATCCAGCAGGGAAGGGGCTGCAGCAGTTCTGGTGTAGGGAGGGGCTGGCTGTTTCCTGGGGCAGGGAAGGTCACCCCAGCCCCAACAGCCCCACGCAGCAGCTCCCATCTGCTCCCTGCCCCCTCAGCCAAGCAGGACCCGGTGCTGGATCCCCCTTGCCTGATGGGTGCAGGACTCATGCCCACAGCCCCTGTCTCACTGGTAAGCACTAAACAACCCTCTGGGTTGGAAATTTCCTTCTCCTGGCTGCTGGGGAAGGGGCGGAGATGGGTTTTGGGGGCTCACACTTTGCTGTGGGCTGGACAGAAATGGAGGGGGCATGTGGCTGGGGATAGTAGGAGTTACCTGAGTTTCTTCTCCTGTAAAAGAACCAACGCAGAGGTGAGAGACATCCTGCTTACATCCAGGGCTGCTGGGACTGCCCCTGCAGATGGTGGCATGGGGCTGCATATCCCCCTTCCCTATCCCCTCATGGGGGTTTGGCTGCCAGTGCCTGGGCAATGGCCAGCCTGGTGTGCATGGGGTGCTGATCTCCCAACTTCCCCTTCCCTCTGCCTTCTCCCAGCAGCAGAGCACTGTCCCCAAAGTCCCTGCCACCTTCCTCTCCAGAATGGCCCAGATGAGCCCAGGACTGGCTCCTGGCTCCAGCCCTTCCCAAGTGTTGCTGCACACAGTGGGCATGCAGCCGAGCCCCCTACAAGTCCCCAAGGCAGAGCAGCTGTCCCCCACCTTGACTTGTGGTGAGTCTGGAGCACCCCAAGGAGCTCCACAGGGCACTGGGGTTCCTGCAGAGAGCTTGGACCAAACACTGTGGGAATTTTAATTTTGGCTTCAAACCCAGCTATTTTCATTTATCCAGCTGAGCATGGAGGGTTCCTTCTGTGCCCCTTCACCTGCCGCTTTCTCCAGCAGCAAAAGCAGAAATAGAGAAAGACAAAAATGGAGCAAAATGTCGGACTGTGGTTTTGAAACCCCGGAGTTTGGTTTTGGAGCAAGAAGCATCCGCTTTCACCCACAGTAACCAGCACGGCTGCTGGAAACCAGGCTCTGGTGTTCCCAGTTCAGTTTGGTGCTGCACACCAGAACCTTGCTGCCCTCACAACTCTTTCCATGGAATTTCCACCCCAAGACATGCTGGGAATTTAAAATGTCAAATCCCAGATGTTTCCATTTCTGAGCAGCTGTAAAATGAGTGGGATTTGGGATAATGTGTGCTTGGAGGCTGAAGTGGAGCATCCCTATCACCTGAGTGGGGTGGATTGTCCTGGGGTGGGGGCAGCACTGTGGGATGCCCCTCTCTTCCCATCCCAGGTGCTGAGAAGTCACCTTGTCACGAGTGCTGTTGCTATCCCTCTCTTCATAGCAGCACCTTCCCTTTTTCAGGCAGTGATTGGCCCAAGCCCAGCCAGGCTTCCCCAGGACCCACTGCAAAGCTGGGCACTAGCATCTCCCTGCACCAGCCTGTGTCCCGTCTGGGAAGGCCTGAGTCCAGCAAGGTATGGCAGGAGCTGCCAACTTCATATGCACCCCCTTTCCTCCACCCCTGAAGACACCATCCACTCTCACTTCAAGCTTTGGGCCAGCCTGTCCACAATGGGGCTGGTGGCCCATGGCTCTCCCTGCTGCTGGGAGGTGCCTGATGGCACTGACCTGCAGCTGGAGAGCCGCCGCATCACACACATCTCCGCTGAGCAGAAGAGACGCTTCAACATCAAGCTTGGCTTCACCACGCTGCACAGCTTGGTGAGCACACTGAGTGCTCAGCCCAGCATCAAGGTGAGCACCCAGGGCCAGCCCTGGGCATGCGGAGACATGGCATCACCCAGAGATGCTGCATCCCTGCTGTGACCCACAGTACAGAGCTCCTCTCCTGTGCCCCAGACTGTGGTGCAGGAGGCTAGAGCACACAGCAGGCACACAGTGCGGCCGTGCGAGGGTGGTCTGGGCTCCCTTCCTTTCTCACCCCGCGGCCCCCCAGATCAGCAAGGCCACCACCCTGCAGAAGACAGCCGAATATATCTGCAAGCTGCAGCAGGAGCGGACAGCTCTGCAGGATGAGGCACAGCGTCTGCGGGACCAGATTGAGGAGCTCAACGGCTCCATCAAGTAAGGCGGCCATGGCGGGGAGAGATGGGGGAGCATGGTCTGCTTTGGGGTAGCTAGGCAGGGCAAGCAGCTGTGCCAGGACAGCAGCAGGTCTCCCTGGAGCACCTCCCAGCTGACTGTCCCTCTTCAAACCCTCTCTGTGGGAGGGCTGATGCTCAAGAGGCAGGATGGAGTCGGGCCAGGTCCCACACCTGCCCTGGGAGGGGGACAGTGGCTGGTAACTCCTGCTGAGCTTCTGTGGCTCCCAGCCTCCTGAACGTGGCCCCACGACACTGGTTGTACCCCACAGCCTGTGCCAGGAGCAGCTGCCTGCCACAGGGGTGCCCATCACACGCCAGCGCTTTGACCACATGCGCAAAATGTTTGACGAGTATGTTCGCTCCTCCACACTGCAGAACTGGAAGTTCTGGATCGTATCCTTTGGGGCCAGTGCCTGCTGCTCCCTCTTACCCTACACCAGACACCAGGTGCTCTGGTTCATCTGCTGCTACTGGGTCTTTGGGGGTCCCTCAAGCTTGGGAGACTTTGGGGACCACAGGGAGATGTTTCCCAGCCAAAGTCACGTGGTGGGAACACACTGATGTTCTGTGGTTAGGAGGGATATTCTTCTCCAAGGGATCAAAAACAGTTGAATAAATGGTTCTCGGGAAGAAGGGAAGTGGATCTAAGCTTATGGAGGGAATTGCTCCTGATGACATGGGAACTGGCTCTGAGAGGCAGCAGCCATGGATTAGGATAAGCCCAGACACAAAACTGGGGACATGATGACTTCATCTGAGTGGTTGCACGGCATACCCTGGAAACACGGATGGAGAGGATCAAGGTATCAGGGAACCTGTGGGCAAAGGGCTGGATCTGCTCCTCTGTGAGTACGGATTAGACACACTGGGACTCACCGGCAGAGCCTGTGAGGTCTGTGAAATCTCAAGTGGCAGAGTGATGAAAGGCACTGCTGCCCATGGTCCCATCCAGCACAGGTCATGTGGAACAAGGTGGAGGTGACTTCTGGGGGAAGAGCTGGGGAACTCCTTCCTCAGGACATGGGGTGCCATAAAGCCAGTACAGGCTCCAGGACATGCTTGTGGTGGGAGGTATCTCTGTGGAATACTGCCTGCACAAAATTACCAGGCTGGTCCCTGCAGGCTGGGAGCAACAGGGGAGCTTATGAGACACACTGGTGTCCTACCTTGCCCCTGAGCGCTTTGCTAGCTGGTTCCCTGACCTGCTCTGGAGGACATATCTTGTGTCTCAGCAACCTTTTCTGGAAACTCCAGCCATGACAGGGGCTTTGCACTGCCTCCCCACGTGACACTCATGCCATGACCCCAGCAGTCTGGGCTCGTGCCAGGTGTGGTGCTGTGCTGGGAAGGCACTCAACAGATCTGTTCCATGGCCTGTCCTGCTGCCCCAGTAGTTCTGCTCCATGTCTAGACGGGAAAGTCTGTCCTGCTGCCATAGGAGGGTGATGCCCACACTGGGAAGAGTGAGACCATTGTCATAGCAAAGCTGGTCCTTAACTCTTCTGATCCCACCAGTTCAGTATCATCATCCGGCCTCTCTTTGAGTCTTTCAATGGCATGGTGTCCACAGCCAGCATGGAGAGCCTCACCCAAACATCCCTTGCCTGGCTGGACCAGCACTGCTCCCTCCCAGCGCTTCGGCCAAGTAGGTGCCTGTGCCTGGCTGTGGCACCTTGAGCTAGCTGGGTTGGCATGGACTGAGGGAAAGACAGAGGCGGAAAGGACAGGGGTGTCCTGGGGGACGGTAGGAGTTATCTGTGGGATGTCCCGGGGCGCCTGCTCACTGCTTTCCCGCACGCCCCAGCTGAGCCGGAAGTGCCCTAACCCCGTCTCCTGGCAGGGCAGGCTCAGCCCTCCCCAAAGTCCCTCAGGGTGGGTTTCACTGCACTGCGTGTGCTGCGGGAGCGACCGGTCCCACCGTTCCGGGGGCTGGACCGGGCCGGGCAGCGCCATCTTCCCCAGGACGCCCCCTGTCTCCTGTCCCCGCAGCCGTCCTGAGCTCTCTGCGGCAGCTGAGCATCTCCACCTCCATCCTCAGCGACCCGGCCCGTGTCCCCGAGCAGGCGGCACGGGCAGTGGCGGCGCTGGAACGCCCCAGCGCCTCCTCCTCCTCCTGAGTGGTCCGGGGTTTCCGGGATGTCCCAGGGGCACCGGCGTGGGGAGCCGAGACTGCGCGAGAGCTGTCCCGCCCCGACCCCCTGCAATAAAGGACTTGCTGTGCCACGGACCCCGCGTAGTTCTTCAGCCCGGGGGCCGCTTTGGGCACGGCCGGGAAGGGCGGAGAGGGACCGGGACTTGAGGGGGGTATTACTGGAGGGATGAAAGCCATTACTGGGAAGGGGGCCAGGGGCTGGGGGGGATGAGGGAAACTGAGGCTGGGGCAAGTGAAGGAAGAGGCTGGTGGGAACGGGGTGATGGCCTGGGCTTGAGGGAGCAGAGACTGGAGGAGGGGCGGCGTTGGGGAGCATGAGGACAGGGGCTGGGAGGGTAGGGACCGGGGTAGGAGGGACATAGAACCTGGGGGTGGGATGAGGGACCCCTGGGTTGTGCGGAAGGCACGCACGGGCTGGGGTGGTCAGGTGCTGGGGGGCTGTGGCAGAAGAGGGTCTGGGGGGTTGATGGGGCTTTTTGTGAGGCAGGGGCTGAGAAACAGGGGCTAGAAGAGCGTCGGGGGTGTCCGTGGCTGAATGGGGGACGGCTGAGGGGGCGGATGCAGTATCGCCGCCAGGGGCCGCCCTCCGCGGATCACCGGGGCCGCGCATGCGCACACGGAAATTCACCCCTTGATATCGGTCGCTGACGCGACGGCGGGAATATGGAGGCAGCGGCGGCGCTGGGCGGGTCGGGGTTGCCGGCTGCCCTCATCCTCCTCGTCCTCCTCGTCCTCCTGCTGGCGATCGCGGTG